TGCCATGATGATCATGAACTAATTCTCTGAAATTATAAGCAAGCCCCCAAATTAAGTACTTTCTTCCATAATTTCCCTTACAACAATAGAACAATAACTAAGATGACCCATGATTCTGTTATTTAAAGTAAAATCCATAAACATGCTCTTCCTAATAGTGTTTGATAATCTGTACCTTGAGAATGGGCATTTGTGAACAGGTACTGGATATGGTCAGCTCTTTGCTATGTGTAGTGATAGTAGTGCCAGGGATAAAAGGAACCATGGCCTCAAAATCCTGAGCAGATGTTTTACCACTGAACTAGACCTAGCTCTAGTCAGTCTATTTTAAAAAGATGCCATTTAGGGGCTGGAGAGATGGCTCAGAGGTTAAGAGCACTGGCTATTGTTCTTCCAGAGGCCCTGAGTTCAATCCCAGCAACCACATGGTGGCTCACAACCATTTATAATGAGATCTGGAGCCCTCCTCTGGCCTGCAGGCAGAACACTGTATACATAATAAATGAATCTTTAAAAAAAAGATGCCATTTAGTCACTTCTCAACCTCCCAGCCCCTGGATGAGCCAGCCTAGACACTATGATGTGAGTAGGTGTTTGTAAGGCTATCTGGTTGGCTACTTGTACTTGGTGTTCTCTGGGACATATGAGCTATACAGGTGTGCTCTCTGTTTGTCTTTCTGTCTGTCTGTAGTGGGGATTAAACCCAGGGTCTCATGCATCACATGCTAGGTGACCACTCTTCTACTTAAGACATACCCAGGTTAGCTGCTGTGGAAGAATCTTTGTACACTGTAAATATGTATTACTATCTGGTTAGTAAAGAGCTGACTGGCCTATAGCTGGGCAGGAAGAGATTGGGCAGGAGAGCGAGACTAGAAGGATGCGGGAAGAAGAGCAGCCGAGTCTGAGGAGTTGCAAGCAAAATGCAGATGAAGCAGGAGATGAATATGCCAAGCTGAGAGAAGGTACTGCCACGTGGCAGAGGGTAGATAAGAAATATGGGTTAATTTAGGTTGTAAAAGCTAGTTAGTAACAGGTATAAGCTATTGGTTGAGCTTTATAATTAATACAAAGTCTCGGTGTGGTTATTTGGGAGCTGGCCAGTGGGATGAAAAACTCCGCCTATAGTTGGCTTTCTTTTTTCCCTTCCTTTCTTCCCTTTCTCCCTCCTTTCTTTCCTTCTCTTTGATGTAGGGTTTTTGTCATATAGTCCAGACTGGCTTCAAATTTGAGATTCTCCTGTCTACACTTCAGGAATGGTGGGATTATATTATCTGTCACTATTACTCAGCTGTCCATACATCTGGACTCTACACTCTTAGTGAACAAAGAGCTGGCATTTTTGATGCTTGAGTTCTAGAGCAGTGGTTCTCAACCTGTGGTCATGACCCTTTTGGGGGGGGGCAAATGACCTTTTCACAGGGGTCACCTAAGACCATTGGAAAATATAGATATTTATATTGGATTCATAACAGTAGCAAAAATACAATCATGAGTAGCAACAAAAATAATTTTATGATTGGGGGTCACGACACCATGAAGAACTATATTAAAGGGTTGCAGCATTAGGAAGGTTGAGAACCACCTTTCTAGAAGCTGACAGCACACTCCATAATTTACTGGTTTTAATTCAGAGGTAGTTTTGATGCAGATAAAGGGAATGGATTCATAGTATCATTCTAGAGCTTCACTTGGCTTACACTATACCCAGACCTACCTTCTAGCAAGGCACTTGCTAACCTAGGACCCTGACACACATGTGCTATGTACCATATCCTATTATATATATATATAATGATAATAGAATGATAGTGATAATAGAATATCCTCTTCTAAACAATGCATCTAACCACCTATGACCCCCATCTACATTGGGCTACATGCACACCCCTCTCTGAACAGTAAAATAAGTTCTTCCTCTCCCTAACAATTACCAAAGTTATACAAATCCTGTTCATCCATATTCCAGTTTGTGTCCAGGTACAGAAGGTAGGAGCAGATCAGGCTTGAACTGGTTTGGGATACATTAACAATAAAGCAAACTAAGTCCTCTCAGTGAACTTCCAGAAAGAATTCCCCATTGACATTTTATTCCTATGTATAGTTGTTATGCATATGATTAAATCAGATGAATTATAGGAAGGGCCATATTCAGTGAGCCTATGTAATCCAAATATGTCAATCAGAACAGAATTATTCCCACTGTACTCCTTAGCAAACAAACTCTTGTATTCCATGAAAGGAATATCCAAGCAAGAACAGCAACTGGGACCCTTTACGTACCTTCTCAACTCATGTAGCCTTTTGTCAACATTGACAGATTGTTTTTTGGTTTTTCAAGACAAGGTTTCTCCGTGTAGTTTTGGTGCCTGTCCTGGATCTTGCTCTGTAGACCAGGCTGGTCTTGAACTCACAGAGACCCACCTGGCTCTGCCTCCTGAGTGCTGGGATTAAAGGCGTGCACCACCACTGCCCAGCCCAGATTATTTGACCTATTCTATTGCTTTGTGTAAAGTTGTGATACTTTTGCAAATCAGTGTGAGTCCTTATTTCAACTCTTTAAGAGGCCAAGAACCTGGAAACACGCAGTCCAGACCCTGACCACTGGTAACAATTTCATGGGGGAGTTGATGTCCTTAAGGCTATTTCTCCACTCTGGATACAGCATTCCAGACACACCCTCTCACTCCTTCAGTCTCACACTGACAACCGTGCCTCACCTATGTTTGGGTAGACCACGCTGAGTAGTCTGTCCCCTTCTTGAGAGCTATGTATCACTCCATTCCTCTGTCACAGAGCCCTCTGTGCACGCTATTGTACAAGCAGTCCCTGTGGCCATCACTGTGCAAGACAGCCTCAGCAGAGTCCTGTCCCAGGCAAGCAGAGCCAAAAACCAGCCAGGAAGTTAGTTCAGGGACTGAGCTAACACCAGCTGCACTTGGGAGATGGTGGCAGTCTCTTCATTTGTCCTACCATGAGACAAGCAGGAGACAGGGGGAGAATGGCATAGTTTTAGTGAAAATGGGGTTCAGGTGACAGTGTTCCCACAGGGGTCCCCAGGCCCTGAGGCACTTGTTTCCGGAGTTCTGAACCAAGCTTGGATTTCAAAAGCATCGCTCATCCCTGACTGCTTGTGTTCCTTCCCCAGTCCATTCTAGCTGGTGCCCTTTCTTCATCCACACCCAGGGGAGTCTACAGACAAGCTTTGGGCCTCACAGGCCAGGGTGAATATCCCGAGAGACATGTAACCCATGAGTGTAGGGACTTCAGTAGCTGTGCAGGAGGCAAGTTGTCATCCAGTTAAATGGCACTTGGCAGATGTAGGTGAAGGGCCTCAGGGTCCAGTGACTCTAGCTGGAGAAGCTTTAGTCCCTTCACCCAAACTGGCTTTGGTGGTGCAAAGAGGGTCTCTTATTCTTAAGTTTTACAACTGTGTGCTTACGTGTGTGCATGAGTGTTTGTGTACCACAGTGAGCATGTGGAGGTCAGTGGATAGATAACCTATGAGAGTTGAGTTGTCCACCATGAGGGTTCCAGGTATCAAACTCGGGTACTCAGGCTGGGAGGCAAGTGTCAGCTCCCATAATGAAGTTCTCTTTGACAAATGATGCCCTTGAGTTGTAACTCTGGGTTTCACTCTTTACCATATGTCAACATTTGCTAAAGCCCTTTTTGGGTGTGGTGGTTAACACTGTCAACTCAACAGGGTCTCAGATCACCTTAGAGACAGGCCTCTGGGTATGTTTATGAGGGATTAGCTAGACTAAATTAGCCTCTGGATATGTCTGTAAAGGATTATATAGATTAAATTAGTGAGGTGGAAAACCTTCCCTGAAGGCTCCCAATACCATCTCATGGG